ACGCATCACTGTCGCCCACCAGTCTTGATTGATTGGCACTGACCTACTTTATTATCAAGTTTTGTTGTACCATCTTGTTTCAATTTGGTAATCAGTCTAAAAAAGAAAGAAAAAAGGAACGCCCATGTGTTTTAGGCGTATTGGGCATATAAGGCTAGACCTTTTTTTTGTATAGACTAATCGGCACTTGGTGGGGGGGGGGGGGGGGGGGGGTGATGTGGTCAACATCACGCTGGTCACCTTTACTTCCCAGGACTGCACCTGGTACTCAAGGCTGGGTCGACCTGGGATTCTGGACCCGAACCCACGACCTTCCGATCCGCAGGTGGGCCCCTAGCCGCCATTGCCACGGCGATTCCCGTAAAAAAAATCCCTTGGCAGTTCGGAATCCAAAAGAGTAGCCTAACGGCGCTACTAACGGCGCCAAAATTTGGAGTTAAAAATTTACCTGAGGAGGGAACCATTTGAGGCCGTTAAATATTATGAATTAATCAAGTAACAGAAAGTATTGTGAACGGCACTCATAGAAAGTTAGAAGTAGAACGGAGCGCTTAGGGATTACTACCCTTGTGCCATGATGTTGATCCGTTGTTTAAAAATCTAAATCAGTCTAAGGTCTTTCCTATCAGTTATTAGATGTGTGTGCCCCTTTATCATGTCAGTGTGTCTTACTCACTCTAAAGCCTTGCTGTGGTGTAGGTAGATGCTGTCCACGAGCCAGTTTTCTTCGACGCTGAGGACTCTTAGAATGTCATATTTCCTATTTCTTGGCTTAATCTAGGGCTGTTCAGCTAAGCAAACCCAAGGGCCAATAGTTTGAACATGGGAAGACTGGGATTGTTACGGGCCAGTAGTCACTGCCCAAGCACAGACAGTTTGATAATACAAAACAATGGGCAATGATTCGTGGGCCACCTGCTAGACCTCCGCGGGCCAGATTTGGGCCGTGGGACGCCAGTTGAATAGCCTTGGTTTATGGTGTTCTAAGGATATTTTTGTAGTATTTCAGCTCAAGCGGGGTTCATGGCTTAGGCGTTGCGAGTCCGACTCGTAATTCCACCATACCGCGATCGAAACCCACTGCTGGCTGCGTGGATTTTTATCATGGTATGGGGTCGACCTAGTGCCGATTGGCCTGTAAAAAATATGGGTGCTCTTCCCATATGCCCTATGCTCCCAAGGCGTGGAAAGGAATCTTTACTTTTACTCATTTCAGCTCAAAAACCCCGATGTTTTTTTATGGTTGCAAGATAGTCGAAGACTTTCATCTCTCCATGTTGCTACGGGAAAGACGCGCGCTGTCATAATTTTGGCTCAGATTTGCTTACTGGTAGCGCCCTTGGTATAGCAGCTAGACAATAGCCTGCGGATCTGAAGGTAGTGTGCTCAAATCCGTCTGGTGTCGGATTCTGTTTTTTTTTTTTTTTAAAGAATGACTTGGACTTCAACGTCGACCAGCCCTAAATAGGTGCCAGGTACAGTCCTGGGATGTAAAGGCACCCTGCATGATGTTGATTAAATCAATCACCGAGTCCAATGGTTTTTAAAAATGTAAGTAGCCTCATATGCCCACTGCGCCACTGGCGTATAAAGGGCCTTTACTTTACTTGACTTACTGGTACTTAGATATAGGTTTTTGTTGCTGTTAAGCTTTGTACTGTTATGGCCGCGTTTCTCTTAACTTGTTCAAATGTATTCTTACTTTTTTTTTTTTCAAATACCATACCTACGTATTCAATGTTACTGATATTTTCAGTTTCTTCGTCCTTGACTGTAAATTTTGTGGATGACATATTCTTGTGTCTGTAGATAATATTTTTGTTTTCTCTCAATAAAAAAAAAAAAAAACATCTTAGGTTTTGACCTTCAATGTGATTATAGGCAGACAGAATTAACTGTTCTAATTCTTTTGTACTATTCGAAAGGAAGGCGGCGTCGTCTGCGCATTGAAATTTCCAGATTAAATTCCCGCAAATTATAAATGGATCCCCACTCCCATCATTCTCTTCCTTCCTTCATTCCTTCCTTTCTTCCTTCACTTTAATCTGCGTCAGCTCTTTAAAATACTAGTTGACAGGTTAAGTTGTTTTACAGCAAGGCTGCGATATGAGTGCTGTGAGCCCAAGACATCCGGTGTCAGCAAAACTGCATTTGACCACATGCTTGTTGGGATGACAGTGGGTCTATTCCCACCCCTCCCCTACCAGTATGGACCCTCGGGATCCACACTGGGAATATGAGATATGCTCTTGATATTGTAGAAACGGACCCTTTTCCACGCCCTAATGCACATTGGCTATAAAGTGGTAGACGTATATGTTTAGACCAATCTACACTCGGTAGGTGATGCGGTCAACATAACGTTCACCGCTTTTACATCCCAGAATTTTACCTGGTACCCATTTTAGGCTGGGAGTCAAGGTCATTTTTTAAGAAAAAATTCCCGCTCAATCCGGATTTGAAACCGGTACTAAATGTCATAATATTTGTGTGTGTGTATGTGTGTGTGTGTATGTTTGTGTATATGTGTGTATATATATATATATATGTGTATGTGTGTGTATATGTGTTGTAAATTATATTAATTTCGTGTTTCATTTTTCACTTTTACCTGTCTGCATATTACTGCTATGTATGCGTCAACATCTTCTTTTTAGCATTCACGGCTGTAGAGTCCAGTGGGAATTTCTGGTTGTTCGTCCACTTCTGGTGGTCTTGTCCCAGAATTTCAAGATTTGTGTGCATAAATGATATACATATCTGGCTTTTTTATATTCATAGTGTTGGTTGCTGGCCTTTCAGGCAGATGCACTTCGACTTCGAAAGAAACACTTCTAATTAGCCGTAATGTACGATATACGGGGGGGGGGGGGGGGGGGGGGTCTATTCTTTTATCCCACAAACTGGGGTTCATGTATTACATGGAGAGTATATGGCCATATTATATCTATGCTGATATTTTGTATGTGTCATATTATGTACCTGCTTCTGATATTTCACATACTTCGCTTATTTACAAAGTTCTCTTTTTCTTACTATACGTTTTTTAAATGTCCATTTATTTACACATTGCCACCCAGGTCCACCCAACCTTGGGTGGGTACCAGGTGAAGTCCTGGGAAGTAAAAGCGGCCGGCATAATACTGATCGCATCGCCCACTAAGTGCTGATTGTTTTATGAAATATCGTTCTAGCCCTATAATCCTAGTCCGCCTGAACGCGTGGAAAATGGTCCTTTACTTAACTTACTGTTATTTACATAATCCTCGTATTATTGTGTTCTGTAAAGATTTGTTTCTTATTATTTACACCCTTCCAGTATTCTTCTTCGCCTCTAGTGCTTGTTATGTCGTTCAATGTCACGTTTTAACGAGGCATAAGATGCGAGCCTTGGTATGTGCTACCACGGCCGGCTCCAACAGTAAGTCCGAACAAGTCTACGGAAATTCCCGTTTTGTTAGGCAGGTCACGACCGTCTCCAGCTGACGGGCCGTGCTGCTGACGTCACCGGGTCGGGCTAACAATGCGTTAACGCAGCGGTTCTTAAACAAGAAATAAACTGTTTACGACAGTGGCGAGGGAAGACAACTTAAATTTTAACTTTTAAGTATCTATATGCCTTTAATAATTTCACAATTTTTAGCTTTTTCTTGATTATTGCTGCGGCACCCCTGGCATACGCTCACGTCACCCCATGCGTGCCTCAGCACCCAGTTTGAGAACCGCTGCTTTAACGCACAGTTAGCCCGACCCGGTGACGTCAGCAGCACGGCCCGTCAGCTGGAGCCGGTCATGGGCAGGTCCACGGCCGGTCTGTGCTCACCATTGTTATCGAGTAAATTTATGCACAAATTAAACTACTGTTTAATTAACTTGCAACATATTTTATTGAAAATTCTAATATTATTCTGTTTCCCAATGGCATACTTATATATCTTCATAATAATAATTCATTTAATAAAATATGTTGCAAGTTAACAAAATGTAGTTTAATTTGTGAAAAAATTTACTTGATAACAATGGTGAGTACAGACCGGCCGTAGACCGACCCAACAAAACGGGAATTTCCATAGACCTGTTCGGCCTTACTGCTGGAGCTGGCCGTAGTGCTATGTAGATGTTGATTTCACGGCCTCAGATTGCTCATCTACCTATGGTCAACACACATCCCTGCTTTAGCTGCATCTAAAACGGTTGCGCTGTCTGTGATACACTGTATGATAGTAGTCCAAACGATTTGATCCGTTGTCTCTTGGTGTAGTTTAGTGCTGGTTCTGTCTCAACTTGTTTGCTGATATCGTGATTTCTGATCATTTCATTTCTCTTCTAGTACTGTATTTGCAAATGATTAACGTATTCACACATTACGGCTGTATTTACACATTGCTGTTACTGTATTTAAAGGAAAGAAGCTCATTGTATTTACAAATTACTGTTGTTGTATTTAAAGGAAAGAAGCTCATTGTATTTACAAATTACTGTTATTGTGTTTAAAGGAAAGAAGCTCATTGTATTTACAAATTACTGTTATTGTATTTAAAGGAAAGAAGCTCGTTGTATTTACAAATTACTGTTGTTGTATTTAAAGGAAAGAAGCTCATTGTATTTACAAACTATTGTTATTGTGTTTACAGGAAAGAAGCTCACCGCACATCTCACCACAACTCTGTCAGTAACAAGAAAAGTCAGCACACGGAACATGGACTCTGAGGGTCAGTGATGCACATTCCAGCACTCTCCCCATGGGGCATACACAGACAGCATGGACGTCGCTTGTTATCCCTTCCTTCTTACATGTTTGTCTCTCACTGGAACCCAGTCAAGTTACTACCACAGTCAGCTTACTTCGACGACCCTGAAACGGGAACTAAATTCCACGCTCGATCTTTGCTAAGTCTTTGGAAACGGAAAGCGTTGAGTTGATGTCTTTGCTTTGTTTTAAAGATCTGAAACCCCTTCTTGAAGAACATTCCAGCCTCTCGGGCATCTTCTGATTCACCATGAGCCTAGTCGTGTACGTGTTTCTTGTGCTCCTGGGAAGCACCGAGCTGGGTGCGCGAGCCAGCAAGCATAAATATTTGGACTCCATGTTCGCAACCAAAGGCGGGAATCCAGACCCATGTTACACCGAGAATGGAGAGCCTAAGCGATGTATTCCGGATTTTGTCAATGCTGCTTTCGGCAGACGAGTGGTGGCCTCCAGTACCTGTGGGGTGGAACCTGAGAACTACTGCAAGTCTTCCACGGACAAAAGCGGGGAGATAATCAGGTGGGTGGTCTGCTAAAAAGTTTTTGTATGTATACCGTAGTACTGCAACAGCTATCTCTTTACACACATACCATAGTGCTGCAAGTTATTTAATCCTTTACACACATACCATAACCCTGCACGTTATTTAGCCCTTTACACACATAACATAGCTCTGTAACAGTTATCTAGACATTTACACACATACCAAAGCGCTGCAACAGTTATCCAGACCTCTACACACATACCTTAGCACTGCAACAGCTATCTAGAAATTTACACACATACCATAGAGTTGTAACTGTTATCTAGACCTTTACGCACATACCACAGCACTGCAACAGTTATCTAGAGCTTTACACACATACTATAGTACTTTAAAAGTTGTCTAGATCCTTACACATATACCATAGTACTGCAACGTAGTCAGGCAATCTGCATTCTTCACAGTCGTTCCTCTGCACTCGACCACTCACATACATGTCCAAACAGCAACCGATCCTTTCTCGCCTTCAAACTTTCGTTCCAATCTCATGCTTTCCGCTTACCACAGTTCACCAAAACACAAAATACACTAAACACATCATTTACTGACGTCCCGCGTTTCCTATGATCTTCTGACATTCTACATCATCCGTAACGTTGTCTACGGGTTCCCGGGCTTTCCCATTATTACAGAGTGCTACCAGTGCCAGACTTGAACAATGACAGAACAAGCAAAATTACAACAAATGAAATGAGATGCTAGAGAAGAGTACTTGGCGTAGAAGAGAAGATCAGAAATTGTGAAATTCGAAAGAAGTTTGAGGTATAAGCACTGCCAGACTTTATTTTAAAAAGCGAAATGGTTCGGTCATGTAACTCACCTGACAACAGACGGCTCCAGCACAGCTTGCCCAAAACTGCACCGATGTACAGACCATGCGTAAATGGGAAAAAACAACAGACTAATCAAATTGTATAAAGAGGGAATACGACAGTCTCAGGAAATCTCAACCTATAAAACAAAATTGCTGACTGTTTTTCCTAATTAACCGGGCAGCTACTGAAAGTTTCACCATCCTGAGATGACAAAATCTCTACCTAGTTTGCAAACCAACAGGGATAATCACCGAAACCATCACCGAGCCTCGAAGAAAGTTATCATTACGCACCGGTAATTGCAACTGTGTCACCTGCACTCAGGCTTTGGTCAGGAATCTGTTGTGCTTAACAGACTGGCACTCTCCAGCCACTTATGTCGTCCGTAAAATACATCAAGCTTAGACTTCAGTCTTCTTCTTCTTCTTCTTCTTCTTCTTCTTCTTCTTCTTCTTCTTCTTCTTCTTCTTCTTCTTCTTCTTCTCTTCTTCTTCTTCTTCTTCTGTCTTCTTCTTCTTTCTTTGGTCAGGAATCTGTTGTGCCTTCTTCTTCTTCTTCTTTCTTCTTCTTCTTCTTCTTCTTCTTCTTTTTAAAATGTCTTCTGAACTGTAAACTTTTAAACCTAACTAGATTAAGATTATATCTCCCCCTTTTTTCACCAGGCATTGCTTTGTGTGTGACGCCAGCAACCCCAAGTACAGCTTCCCGCCAGAGTACCTGACGGACCTCAACAACCCTTCCAACCTGACCTGCTGGATGTCCAAGACCTACACGGCTGTCCAGTACCCGTCCAATGTCACGCTGACTCTCAGCCTCGACAAGAAGTATGAGCTGACCTACATCAGGTAAGGAGGCTTGCCACGAGTAATAAATACCGTTCACATTTGGCAGCTACGCAAGATAGTCCTCTGTATGAAATCACTATTTCTGTGTTGGTTCCATGTGACATTGCATATAGATTTAATTAACTCCATTAAAACTATTTTTTAATGGTGGCCTTCTTCTCGTTCACCGGCTGTAAACTCCGGCGGAAAGTTATGGTTGTTCGTCCACTTCTGGACTGCAGTCCTGTTCCAGAACCTGATACTAGGCGATGGATGATAGGTAGGTAGGTAGGTAGTTGTACCCTACCAGGACATCACACAAGCGATAAACAACTGGTGACACAAAGTGCAACCATGCGAATGAGGATCACCCGTGGAGAGGTCCAAGAAACCCCTTTCAGCCGTTACGGCCATATCTATGGCTAGGCCATATTTATGGCCCGGCTATATTCAGGGCCCCCAGCAAAAGCTTCAAATAACGAAAAATTGCATCCCACATAGGGACGACTTTTAGAAATAAATTAAATAATAAAATTACCCGATGGAGGGAACAGTTTCCAGAAAACGAGGCAGAGACAGACGACCGCGAAGCTGGAGACAAGATGTTAGAGATACCTTGGTTATGTACCACATAGGGGCTGTAGTATTGGCAAAGAAAGAGACACTTTCATGCGTGGTGCGACGAGAGTGACGTTTTATAAAGAACTTGCTGGTTGATGATAAGTAGCAGCGATTGTTGAGACAGTATTGTACCTAGAAATAGGTTTTATAAACAGTAGCACCTGATTTATTGAAAATAAGACTGAACCTGAAACAAGACCTGCTTTGATTTTTCAAGATGCTCCTAATATAAGCCCTAGACGGGATTGTCAGCCAGACGCATGTCTCCTTCTGTATGCAGTATACTCACAGATGTAACACCTTTCTCCCTCTGTATAAAGTATAATTGCAAATATAATACTTTTCTTCCTCTGTATAAAGTATAATTGCAAATATAATACTTTTCTTCCTCTGTATAAAGTATAATTGCAAATATAATACTTTTCTTCCTCTTTATAAAGTATAATTGCAAATATAATACTTTTCTTCCTCTGTGTATACAGTATACTCACAGATGTAACCCTTTTCTTCCACAGCCTTCAATTCTGTTCCGCCAGACCACATTCCATGGCCATCTTCAAGAGCATGGACTACGGCAAGTCTTGGGTTCCTTTCCAGTACTACTCCAATGACTGTAAGAAAATGTACAACAAATCTCCCAAGGCCGTCGTCACGAAGGCTAACGAGCAAGAAGCCTTGTGCTCCGACTCCTACAGCACCATAGACCCTTTGACGGGCGCCCGGGTAGCCTATTCCACATTAGAAGGCAGGCCGTCTGCTCTGGACTTTGAGAATAGTCCCGTTCTGCAAGACTGGGTCACCGCCACGGACATCAAAGTGGTCTTCAACAAGCTGAACACTCTTGGCGATGAAGGCAAGGACGATGATGGTGCCAAGAAGAGCTACTACTATTCCTTATCGGATTTCGCGGTGGGAGGCAGGTGTAAGTGCAACGGCCACGCATCTCGTTGCATTACCGGGCGTGACGGTCGCCAGGCCTGTGATTGCAAGCACAACACTGCCGGATATGATTGTGAGAAATGTCAGCCATTTTTCTACGACCGACCTTGGCAGAGAGCCACATCTAGGGAGGCTAACCAGTGTGTGGGTGAGTGAATATTTGTGTTTGTTTGAGTGATTCTGTACGTACGTTTCCGTGAATCTGTGTGTTTGAATGATTCTGTACTCTCAAGTGTACCCTTTATGTATTTTTTAATCTTCTGCAGACAATATAGTATTTTAATTGTTCTTGTACAGGCACATGTATTTACCCATCCTCCCTACCTCTCTCTCAGTCTCTCTCTCTATTTCTTTCTTTCTTTCTTTCTTTCACTCACACATAAAATATTCCGCTTTGGCTTTCTCATATAAACGTAAAGTATTGACCAATTTCTTTCTCAAAATATGAGCTTTTATATATCTCATTCCATCTCGCCATGTTTCTCGTCTGTCTCTCTCTTTCTCTCTTTTCTCTCTCTCTCTCTCTCTCTCTCTCTCTTTCTCTCTTTCTCTCTCAATCCTTAAAGATGTGTTCTGAAATTCTACATCTAAACATAGCATAGGTTATACGTTCAAATCATTGTCTTTATGAAGCTCTTCATCGTTGCTAGTGGGCGATCTCTGCCAGTGTATGAATCCCTGTTCTATAACTCAGTTGGAATTGGACAAACTAATCAAATCTGAATGATTATTTCAGCTGCATATGTTAACCAAACCCTGATTATTATATCAGTTATTTATTTTAAATCAAGTCGTTGCTATCATATGTATGGTTGTGTAAACCAAATCTAAATAATCAGTGCAACTGCAGCTGTTTATGTTAACCAGTTCTCGATGATCATAACAATTGTTGAGGTAAACAAATTTTTTGTGGTCATATCAGTTGTTTATTAACGCAGTGTTTGTTTTTAATATACAGGGCAATTTGAACTGTTTTTATTTAGCAACCATACAGGAATCTTTACGCGCCTGGGTACACCAGTGACTGATCCATTTTGAAAGGCAGAGGTTTCAAGATCGTGACGTGGATGACATTCTAATAGGTGAATAACCAGGAACCCAGTTCACCGGTATAGCGATATAACACAGTTAGTTATACTGGGGCACACCTTCTAGTTAGATTCTGAAACCCACACGGGTATCAGTCTGGTAAAACATTTTAAGAAGCACTGTATATTACACAGTCTGAACCAAAAGGATGGAACTTTGCAACCACTGTGTACGTCTTAATATATTTTTTTTTCCAGTTGAGACGTGACGGACAAACACCATCAAGCACCATTTAGCTACTTTCTGTTATTGCATGTCTGCTAATGTTAATGTCTTTTGTTTTAGGCTAACTGCAGTCATGGCAGGGTGAAGGCCAGGTCACAACAGGAATAATACGACCCCAGTGTTCGTCTCCTGTCTGCGTGTTTGTGTTTGTGTGTATAGGAATGTGTGTGTGTGTTCATTTGTGCATATGATATAAATATGCATGTGTGTTCATATGTACATATGATTTATATATATATGTGTGTGTATGTGTGTGGATATTTATGAGGATGTATGTGTATATCTGTAACTGTGTATGTATGTGAATTTTGAAATATGAATGTGTGATGACGTGTGTATGTGTAGATGTGTATGTGTGTGGATATATGTGTGTATGTGTATATGTAGATGTGTATGTGTGTGGATATATGTGTGTATGTCCATTTTTCTCAATCAGATTTATCTCGGATATCCTTAACTTCACGCTATATGTTTACATATATGTGTAAGTGTGTACATTTGATAATTTAATACAAACATAACCAATTTCGTTGTTCATTCTCTATCCTGTACGACAGTCTAAGTTGACTAAAGCTTAAGCGTTGCCTGTACGGCTTGTAATTCCGAGGTTCCCGTTTTTATTCCAGCTCAGGCAATTTGCCAGCAGGCCGCTTTCTGTTGATTGCCACAGCGGTATGAAAAGCCTACCGCTAAAATACAGCACCAAACTACTGAATTAAATAAAGCACCCATTTCCACACGTGCAAGCATATTGGACAAATAGGGCTAGACCTATATTTTATGAACCAAACGGCACTCGGTGGGTGCGTTTACTTCCCAGGACTGTACCTGGTACTTACTCAAGGCTGGGTCGGCCTGGAAGACAAAGTCATTTTTTTTTAAAGTCCGGCCTCAGTCAGCACTTGAACCCATGACCTTCCGATCCGCAGGCAGCATCTAGCCGCTGGACCACGGCTGCTCCCGACTGAAGGTAGAAATACCTACCAAAATCACCATCAATCAGAAAGTACAGCGTCATGTCAGGGATACGTAACTAACTTTTTATATCAATAATTTTTTTAAATTTATTTATATTTTCTTTTGTCATAAATTTTACTTCTTCGTTTATATTTTACAGTCTTTTTTTTTCATTTCATCATCATCATCATGTAGCAGGTCCTTTGCAGAACGTCGCTCTCATCACAGTCTGCCTGAAAGAAACTCGGTCTCTCGCCAGTTCTCCCGCTTCATGCTTTCACACTCAAGGAGTCACTTATATCCTGTGCCCATCTTCGTGTCGGTCGGCCCCTGCCCCTCCTTCCTGGTACCGTGCCTTCTGCTATAATTTTGTTCCAATCCGTCGTGGCGCTTGATATGACCAAAATATTTCAGCTTTCGAGAAAGGATGCTGTTTATTGGCCAATCTTCCTTGATGTTCAGATCTCTTAAGATGTCAATATTTCTCATCTTTTTTGTCCAAGATATTCTGAGAATCTTTCTATAGCATTTCAGCTCAAAAGCCCCTATTATCTTTCTTAAGGACTGAGAGATAGTCCACGACTTACATCCGTATGTAGCCACAGGAAAGATGCATGCTCTCAAAATTCTAATTTTTATCTCCTTGCTGGTGCTTAACCATAGACTTTAAAGGCTGTTCAATCTTTGCATTGCTATGGCCTTCCTCCTTTAAGTTTCTGTCAAACATTCTCCATTGCTGTTTATTATATATTCAAAGTTTGTGACATTTTCAATTTCTTCATCATTTATTATTTTTGGGTGACAGCCAATGTTATCTGTTGACTTTTTTTCATTTACATCTTCCTATATCATTAATTTCTTTCTCTATAGTTTCCATACTTTTAAATACCTAATTTTGCATCTTGGTTTTATGTCTGTATATGTATGAAAATGTATGTTTGTAAATGAAGCTGTCTAAGTATGTAGATGTATGTGTGTGTGTATTTATGTATGTATGCAGGTATATGTAGCTGTTTAGGTATGTGGGTGTGTGAGTATGTGGGATTGTATTATGGATGTGTATGTATGTATAAAAGTATCTATGTGTGTGTGTAGTATGTATGTATGTATGATCTAGGTGTGAGTGTGATTGTGGGTGTGTGTGAATGTATGTGCATATATGAAGGTACATTTAGGTTTGTAAGTATGTGTGTGTATTTATGTATGTATGTTGTAATTATGTGTGATTGTGAGTGTGTGTGTATATAATGTATGCAAATATGTAAGTCAAGTATGTAAGTATGCAGATATGCATGTGTGTATGTATGCGGGTATGCATGCATGTGTGTGTATATATGTTATGTGTGTGGTATGCATGTGGGTGTATTTATACATGTATGTATGTATCTATGTGTGTATGTATGCATGTTGGTGGATGTATGTATGCATATGTAGCTGTGTAAGTATGTGTGTGCATTTAGGTATGTGTGTAATGATGTAGGTATATGTATGCAAATTATGTAGATGTGTAAGTATGTGTGTGCATGTATGTCAATGTGTAGGTGTGTGTGTGTGTATGTATGTATGTATGTATGTGTGTGTGTGTGTTGCGTGCGTGCGTGCGTGCGTGCGTGCGTGCGTTTCGTGCGTGCTGTGCGTGCGTGCGTGCGTGTTGTGCGTTGTTTGCGTTTTGTGTATGTCGTGCGTGTTGTGTGGGCGTGTATTTATGTTTTTGTATTATGTATGTATTTAGTTTGTTTGTTTTTTGTATGTTTTGTATTTTTTGTATGTGTTTGTATGTATGTTTTTATGTATGGATGTGTATTGTATTGTATGTATGTTTGTATGTTTTTATTATTGTTTTATTTTTTTTTTTATGTAGTACATTTGTGTTTGTATTTGTGTATGTGTGTTTTTGGGTAGTGTATGTATGTTTGAGATTTTTGTATGTGTTGTAGTTTTTGGTTTTTTTGTATTTTTGTTTTTTTTTTTTTGTATTTATGTGTATGTTTGTTAGGTATGTATGTTTGTTTGTAGTTGATGGTATTTTTGTATGTATGTTTTTTTTTATGTTTGTATGTTGTATGTATGGTTTGTTTTGTTTTTATGTATGTATGATTTGTTTTGTATGTTGTTGGTTTGTATTTTTTTTTTTGTATGTTTTTTTATTTTTTTATGTTTGTTTGTATGTTGTGTTTGCGTGCGTGCGGCGTATTGTTTTTGTTGCGTTGCGTGCGTGATGCTATGTTTTGTTTTTTTGTTTTTTGTTTGGATTTATTGAGTTGTGTTTGTATGTATGTATTTATGTATGTTTTTTGTTTGTATGTATGTATGTATGTATGTATGTATGTTGTTTGTGTTTTTTGTATGGTTTTTAGTTGTATTTTGTTGTTTGCTTTTTTTAGTTTAGATGTTTGTATGGTTTTTGTATGTTTTGTTATGTTGTTGATTGTATTTATGTATGTATGTATGTATGTATTATGTATTTTGTTTGTTATGTATGTATGTCTGTTTTTTTTTTGTTTTTATGTTTTGTATTATGTTTGTTTTTTTTATGTATGTTTTTTGTATGTTTGTTTGTATGTATTTTTAGGTATGTATTTGGTATTGTTTGTATGTATGTAGTGTTTTTAGTTGTTTGTATTTTATGTATGTTTTATGTATTTGATGTTTGTATGTATTTTTGTTTTTATTGTTTGGTTGTATTTTTTTTTTACTGTATGTAATGGTCATGTAGGTATGTGTTTTTTTTGTATGTTTTGTTTTTATGTATGCTTGTATGTTATGTATGTTTTATTTATGTATGTACTGTTTGTTATGTTTGTTATGTATGTAGTTTTGTAGTTTGTATTTTTGTATGATTATGTATGTCAGGATTTGTTTGTTTTTATGTTTGTA